TTGTAAGACTGTAGTGATGGGAAGGCCTGAGAGACCAGCAAAAGAATCAAGAAGAGCAAGGAATAAACTGTAAAGAAGGGAACAGTCACTTTTTGTTTTGCTTTAAGTGAAATTCAAATTCAAAAGACAATTTAGTAATACCTGTTGGCGTTACTAATTAGCCCATTGAGGTAAGGATTGCTTTGTTATGCATTTAATCACTTCCACCCAGTCCTAGATCCTCCTCATTCCAGCCCAGGAAGCTCCTTCTTAACCATCCCACACACTAAGAACAGCAGACCACTCCTGGCATTTCTGTGGTCTGAAAAAATCACCTCTACAGCTGGAAATGTACTTTTAAAATACATATTTGGTTTTCCTTACCAGGTAAGACTTTACCCTTAAAGTCAGTGCTTACCTGAACATACTTGGGTGATTCTCTGATTCTAACATCATAAACACTGAACAGAGCCTACTCTGAGTCCAGAGGCACAACAGTAGCAAAGTCCACACACCTGCCTGAGAATTGTGCATAATGTTCAGGCAGAAAACCAAATCTGCATATTTAATACTGAAGTGAAAGGGAACCTGTCAAAATGAGTATAAAGCAGCACTGGATTAAATATAATACATTTGCAGTTCTTGTGACATAAAAAGTAGATTTAGAGTTAATCAAACAGCAATCAATCAACTGCATTAATAGAAAACACGAGTTTTCAACTCTGATTTCATTTCATGACAAGCTCCTGGTCTCGGCTTTGTGTTGGAGCGATACAGAGGTTTGGTGCAGAACCTCCGAGCCTCTCTTTGCTGAAGTGCCTGGTGGCTCTACATGTGTACACATAACACACAGAAATTTGGTAATAAAGACCTTTGGGACAGTTAAATACGTTATGGTGTATGGACAAGGTAAATACATGAGGTATGGACCAGTCATTTGAAAGAAACTACAGAACACAGAATGGCAACCAAGAGGCACTCTCAGAGGGTTTGTGCACTTGTTGCCGTCCCCAGGGTAAATAGTCCCACAGCAGGGTAACACCTCTGGCTGTAACACCAGTGCCGCTCAAACACCGGTGCACTGGCTAGGTTCCTCCGTGCCTTTTCCCAAGGTGGTTTCTCCCCATCAGGGTAGAAGCACATACAAGAAGGAAGCTTGAATTGTTCCAGATCCTGTTGTAGCTACTTCGATCTCAGCGAGACCATGGTAAGGCTTGCTTCCAAACACCACTCAATTCCAATCACACCACTTAAAACAATCTCGTACAAATTTAGGAAGAAAAATAATTCTAGTGTGAGGTACAGCTGAAGCAAAGATTTGGCTCACAGCCACAAATCCATTCATCAGAATTCAGCACATCCCTCACATTGTGCAGCTAAAGTAGCAGGAAAGAATTTAAGTAACAATGGTTTTGGGGCCTTTTTTTTTTTTTTTTACATTATGTGCCTATATGTTGTGAACTTCCTGGTGATAATTTCATTTAAGAAAACCTGAATTTGATCCCTTTTATCAGCTCATTGATACACACCCTTCTCAGGTGTACCTAAACCTACTTATGCAGGTTCACTGGCAGCTAGTAACAAGAGATAATCCTGTTAGCACCTGTAAGAAATATTTGCAGATTACAAGCAGTACCAGCACTTCACCAACACCTCTCTGAACAGAAACAGAATTATTGCTGATTTCTACCAGTAAAAGAGAACCAAACATAAAGCATTCAGACACCCCAGGCTGGAATTTTTGTAATTTTTTTTTTTTTTTTAATTTATACCATGAGTCTTCCTTCCACCAGTTTAAACCTGCATGAGCACCAAAGATCTACCTTAAGAGGAACAGTAGCTTGTTGGCAGGTACGTATTTCTGATGGCAGAATGTGTTCCTCGAACAATTATGTCTTATCACAACACTCACTTAAAATTTTCCATCAAACTGTACCATGGGGGCCCTTTTAAAAACCCTTCATTAATGATGATTACGTAAGTACCATTAGATACGAGACATTCCCATCTTGCTCGTAGGAGTTACAATTTAATTCTGTTACAATCTGCTCCACCATTTGTATTATCACTCCTCACACTTTACCTTTTGTTTTGTAAAACATTGTCTGCCACAGAAAAAAGCCACATGGTATTATGTTTATCACTGCGATCTGATTGAAAAGATGTTATTAATTAAATGTTGTACACAGTTAGACCTGAAAACTCACTGGCAGCTCTTGGGAGAGGATCTATTACAGGAAGACAGTTGCTATTTAGGTCTCTGAGGCAACACAGAAACACCAATAAATCTCACACATATTCCTGTGAATTAAGAAGATATTATTCAGCATTTGTGGGGAATAGTTGGGATTTTCTTTGGCCTTTAATAGTGACTGGCATGGCTCAGTGTGGTCCGTGACTCCTGGAGCCACTATAAAGCAGCACTTGCACTTGCTTTCTTTCAGTGAGTTTGCAAATACACAGGGAGCAGAACTGAGAAGTTCCTTCCCTCACAAGACACAATCCAATATTCTGGTTCAGTACCAAGGCTGAGCTTTTTGCCAAAAGGAGAAGGAAAACACATTTTACCAGAACTGGAATTTTGGTTTTCTGTTTCTCACTCATTTATATTTTCTCATCAGAAGTGTTACATGTAGAGAAACTATTCCTTTGCAGGATAAATAAGTAGAAACAGCTACAAAATTCCAACTGCCTACAGTGAGAGAGCCAAGCCCCCTAACTAGCAGCAAGTTCCCTTTCACAGAAGTTATGTTGGCCATCCTCCTCATGTTAATACTACTGTTCTTATCTTCTGAGCAGAGAAGGTCCATCTCACAAACAAAGACATTTTTCAGAAATTATTATAATAAACTTGATTTTTTTTCCCCCAGCATTTTCACTGTAGTGCCCATTGGTTTATAGGGAACAGGGAAATTCATCAAGAAAGAAACAAAGAAAAAGTTCTTACCTTGGTCACAAGGAACGCAGTGAATGAAATTTTCCTCCTCAGCATGCTCTTTGAGCTGGGGCTGTGGCTTCCGAGCACTCTGAAGGTGAATGTGATGTGACTAGTGATCAAACTGCTTCCTAAGGAAAAGTTCATCACAACTGCTTAAAATGCAACATAAACAAACAGGTCGGTGTCAATATTTTGACTCTGTGTAAACAATTCAAGCTGTATCACTCCGGAGATAATGACACATAATGCTGGATAAAACGCCCTGACAGGGTTTTACCGAACTAATCTGCATTTGAGTTCTGGAAGAAAATTGGTCTGTGCAGTGGAAAAATGTGAACTTCTGTGCTCCTGGTGAATAGGATGCTAACGAGGTCTGGAGCTTACAGAAAGCATCCTGGGAAAGGGCTTTGCTACTACAAGGGAAACAGGGAAAGAATGATGTTCAAACCCTGCTGTCTTTAATCCCACGGAGCTTCAGGAACTGGTGTGTGGGACAGACTGGAATATATGATTTTTGTCCCAGTAAGTATAAACGAAGTGTTTCTTACAACTCTGATGCTGTATCTCCAGGCAAACCCTCTTTCTCGTTTTAGCAACATAATGAGTCCAAGTCTGGAAAGGACTGTGATTAGTGTTTTAAAACTCTGACAATAAAACTAAAGGAAAGCAATCTGTACATAGGAGTTTATTTAGATACCCATAGGTTTTAAATCATTCCCCTTTATATCTCAGCCCACTGGATATCTCATCCAACTGAATTACCATTGGGTTTTACAGTGTGATATACAAAATGAGCTGACATCATGATTTACAAACATCCTTTGAGTATCATATAAAACACAACCGTTTCCCATATTATATAATCATTCGGGCAATGGAAATATAGTCAGTACATTAGTAGCTGAAAATGACAGGGCATTTTAAGAAAATAAATTTAACTTTACCACTGAAACCTGGTAGATAAAACAAATCCTGTTTAAAAAATGGGAATAAAGTTGTCTGAATGATTTTTATATTGTTTTGCCACTTTCCCCTTGTAAGAAACATAATAGTACTTCATTTAAAAGACGACTAATTTTTTCACTGTATAGTCACACTTCATTCTTATTAATCAGTTTCACATTTTCTGCATTAAATTATTAAAAACTCACAAATGTAGACTTTCCAACTGTAGCCACTATACTTATTTCTGCACTCTTTTCCATATACTTGGTGTGTTTAAATAAACAAAAAGCAAAAAACACTACACAAATGAGCAGAACAAAACACAACAGCACGTTAAAAAGGTGACATTTAAGCTGTAGATGCCATTATCATAGAAATATATTCTTGTTCTAATGCCAAAGACTTTGCAGCCTCATGAAAAAAAACCAGACATCAGCTGAAGAGAATCTCAACTCTAACCTCAACGTAGGGCTAAGAGTTTTAATTTGTATTTCTGTCTAAACTTAGATACTAAACAACACTGTGTATGTGGTAAATTTAAAACTAAATATTTTTTAATGCCATAAAATACAAAAAGAGAAAACCTGTTTCTGAGCTGTTAACTGGGTAATGAGTTACCAAGCGTTAAGGTCTCCTGTCCTGCACGTCGCTGGTACAGGTGCTTCTGCACTGGGTCACTATGGCAGTGGTAACTGAGAATGGCAGACATCATTATTACTGTAAATACAAAAAAGGAAAAATTCTGAGCTCATCAACTATGTTACAATTAAAAGCAAATTCTAACCTAGTCAATTCAAATTACATAATCTTAAGGCTCTCTGACTGCTTTATTGCTGCGCAACCCAGAGGGATTATACCCTCTTCCAGCATTTGCAGTTTCTCTTGCAAAACAGAATACTGGTAATGACAGTGATTCTTCCTGAATATGTGCTGAATTGGTGGCGGAATGTGGTTTTATTTCCATTTCTCACTATCGGGATCTTGCTGCTGCTCCACATGTCTGGAAAAGAAAGTGCTTTTTCTGCCATTTCATTAAGTTCATGGCATTTAATTTTATAAATTTTTAAGATGGACTTATTTTGATCACTTCCATTCTGTCCAATCAAATATACCTTTGAAAGCTTTAAAATGTTGGACGGCTGTGAAATATAAGTACTATGCAATTTGACTGTACATACATACATATTTTCATAAATACATCTGACAGGGACCTTGGAACTAAGTATGTGATATCATGGGACAAAATCACAACAGGCTGTCTTATTTGTAAAATCTAGATCCAAAGTAAGAAGAGTTGAATTCTATCATGTTGCCAATACACAAATTAAAACAAAAATACAGCATTAGTTTACCCATGAAATAATTTAAACAGATTTGCAAATGTCTTGACAGGAGAAGTGTGTAATTTACAACACTGAAAACTTTTAACAACCATTGACTTCTATGCGCTGTACTGTAGGTCACCCGGACAAGGCTAGCAAGGATGAGCAGAGTGATAGGTCCCAAAGGCAACTCCCAAACATCTTCCTCATGCGGAGACTTTGGTAAGTGTCTGTTGTATAAAACGCCAACGCATACGGCTTCACTTCAGGTGTCAACGTCATCGGTTTTCCTCCCTCGGCACAGTCCAGTCTGACTAGGTCAGTTATTGTTGAGACACTCTAACTCCACCGAGCAGCAGACGTTCCCATTCTGCACAGACAAACAACCAGGTGTCAATCACCTCTGCACAACGAGTCAACAAGAGCACAGGGGTTGGCGGCACGCAGAGACAGATGCAGCTCTGACACATCTACCGCACACAAAAATCTGCTGAAGCCATCATCCCAAGGTGTCCTCATCAGTCCCAACTGTGGGGGCTTTTTGAGGAGGGTGACTTTGCCAAACTGCACTGAACTGGCCTGAACTGCACATGAACTGGAAACCTGGATGGGAAAGACTCAGTGGTCCCCACAACCAAATACAGCACAGCAATGGCAACAGAGATGATTGGATTTTTCTCCCATGCAAGAAAGCTAAAGGAGAGAACTTTGATGTGATCCATGCAGGGAAGCTTTCTGTTTATCTGCTTGTTTCAGACAGTTCAGATCCTTGATGGATCAGAAAGAATGGCAGAAAAGCTGCCTTCAATGTTTTAAAGCCCTGCAGCAACAGCTTGGTTTCCCACGGTGGGAGAACATTTTCTATAACCCAAACCAACATTTTTAATAATTGTGATATTAGCGCAGTGGGGTCATTACTGCATGGAGCAAGGGAGGCGGACTGCACTTCTGCATTGCAGCCACTGGATTAAACACGTCTTGATGAGATCAGGGAACAGAAACAGTGGCAATCCCTTCCCATTTCTTTTGTAGGAGCGCCTCCACCTCTGAGCTGCAATGCGTTTTTACTTATGTACTTGCTGGTGAAAGCTTCATTAGTGTTTTTGCCTCTGCTTACCAGCTCTGTAAAACACATTTTCATGCACATCCACATTAGGCAATTATTAAGATATTAGCCTAGATTCATACTGAGAATGCCTGAAGGGGTCTCCAGCAGAATGTCTGAAAGTTACACTGGGATATTACATATCTGCGCTCAACATTTTCAACAAGCACCGAATGGTTTTGTTTCCATCCTGCAAAACACAAAAGCTGTGGGTTTTCCGTCGGCTTCTGCCCTCGGGTCTCATTTCCTTCCCCGAGATCTGAATGTGAGCTTCCAAGGGCAGAAGATGACCCTGACTTTCTGCAGCAACATACATCTCCGTTACCATTCCACCTTGCCCATCGTACCTTGCATTGGCAGGTTGTACAAGGAGATCCCACCATCGTCCACACAGCGCCGCTAAGTCTCGTGATTCCATAGCCATCTAGACAGGTTTGCCTGATGTCATAGGTGATGTTGTCAGCCAGACAGGGGTCACTGACGCAGTGGGGACAGCACTCTCCCTCCGAGATGGCTGTGTACTCGCAGTCCAGATTGGGGCACAGAAGAGGCCAACAATCCACCTCTCCTTCCTGTAAACATTGAAGCAAAGCTCATTGAACTTGTTGCCAATCATTAGCTACCATGAAACTTTGCATCCTGCTATTTATTTTGCCAAAATTGAAATAAACTTAATGGATCCGCTCTCGGTGTTGTTGAGCATGTAAAAGCATGTTTGAATACTCAGCTGAAGTTTCCTAAATGCAGCAGACTATCATTTGGTTGCTTTTGGATTAAACAACAACACTGTCATCATCGTAGGAGGAGAACTTGAGTTCTTTCAGGTTTTTAAAGACAGCATTAAATACCGGGTTCCAATGTTTTCTATAAACTATAATTTTTGCAGTGATTGCCTTGCAGCCTCATGTCCTCTTTCTACGCCTGGTCACATAAACATCTCAGCGGAATCACAGCAACTGTTTAAATACAAAATTAACACTGCAGATAGATGTAGGTCAGTACGTTTGAGAAGCACTGAACATTGATCTAACTAGCAACAGACAAAACTGGTTTTACTGTCTACTCCTAAAGGAATTGTTAGAGCAATACCAGTTATGTTTCACTGAGTTATTTTATTATTTACTTTTGTTAAAAAAAGCAGTTTAGTAGATAGAAACATAGAGAAGAGAGAATCATCAGGTCATTTCTGCAGAGTGTTGCTGCACAAGTCGAAACTTAACCTGCAAAGGGCTCCGGTAACTTGCATTATATTAATCTGTAAGCACTTCAGATATGGGCAACATCACACACTGCACAGAACGCTGCCTGTATCACTGATTTAGGGCATCCCTGTCTTTTAGCTCTCTATGTTAACCCAATCATAAAATTAGGCAAACAACTGCCAGCCACAAACTCGGCAGCCCTTGTAAAACATGTCACATCTGATATTTGCCATTGCTTCTGGCTGCTAATGTTTCTTGCTGTTCTTTTGCAAACATTAAAAAAAAATCACCTTAGGAGAACACAAAATACAATACTTGCTGCTGTACAGTATGGATAATTATCTCAATAGTAACTTGGCTTTGAGTGTAATTTGTTTCCTGATGCACAGACACCTCTTGATTAATATCATATATAAAGACTATGTTATACAGACAGCTATAAATGGAAAACTGATAATTCTAATGAAGTTCATTGCTGTTCTAATTAGCATATCTGTGCAGAACTTAAAGCTGTAGGGAAATTATCTTCAGTGCCTAATGAGAAAATAAATGTTCTTTATTTTGCATGTTTGTAATTTCAGTTTTCTTTATTCATCTTTTTTTTGTTCATTTTTGCTAATTCACTATGTGGCACTGGCACTCCATTTCTCCAGCACTTGCTGAATGAGGGGAAAAAAAAAAAAAAAAAAGAATTGCATTATGTATGCATTATATCCATTTTGATAAGACAGGTACACCAGCTGATGTAATTAAAAGCTGAAACTCCTCCAACCAAACCCACTGCACATGAGAAAAAATTTTTAAAGTCATTTAAAGGCCAGACAACCTTATAAAAATTCTCAAAAGTAGACTAATGTTAAAGCTAATATAATGTCAAGTTTTCCAAGCTTTTGTCAAGCTTTTCATTTTGTTCATTAGACCTACTTATTCAGCAGTAAGAGGAAAACTGATGGTGTAGCTTTCAGCTCTCTGGTGCTCTGTAAGTGCTTTATCATCATTCCCAGTCTGAAAAGCAGGTGAAGAGAGATCCAAGAGCCTGCTTCCAGGTTTGCTTTGCTAAAAATCATAATCCTTATTATTCTCATTCCCTTCCGAAATGCTTTACCCATACCAGGCAACGGCACTGCTGACAGCTGTAGGTCCAGTTGTCCCCGCTGCGGTAGAGCTTGTGCCCAGTTTGGTCGAGGCACTGGCTGGTGACACGGGTGTCGCACTCCGGGCAGCAGAAGAGATCAGCGCTGGGGTTCTCGCAGTCGCAGGCTGTCCTCCGGCAGAAAATCCTCCCGTCCTGCAAGGACACATTGCCCTGCCATCAACCACAAACCGCAAGGCAGCAACCCAGAGAAGGTCACGGGGCGTATATATCAAAGGGCACGTCTTTGGCATATCAGGAAATATTAAGTTCTTAAAGTATTTGATGTTTGTTTTGTAAAACGGGATCCTGCCAGATGGGAGTGATACCTCAAACACCAGTATTGTCCCAACTTCTACCAGTGCGTGGATCCAATACTGTCTGAATCGCAGAATCCTGTTCTCCTGTCTCCAGATAGCTGAATTTTAAAGAAATCAGTTTCTCAGAAGAAATATAGTGAGGCAATTTCATATCTCATTGGTTAGATCAATGAACACTTCAAGCAGTTGCACTCTAATACATACAATATTTGTTTAGCACTGTTTTGACTGACTGTATCCCTGTGAAGAAAAATAACTTGAATAAACAAATTGAAGTTATGAAGATGGTCCCTTTAATTTCATAGGAGCCCAGCATAGGGAAATCACAGTGTCACTAATCATTCCTCACTCTGAATTCACCTCTGGTCCTGTTCCACATCTGGACCAACAGTGCATCAGCTTCCAGCTAAACGGGCCTGTCACCATCCATTACACCTCTGTTCCTGTATTACAGAGGGCCCATATTTCACAGGCTCTCCAAAATATGATTTTGCTAAATATTTGCTTACAGTGTTGGATGGCCCATTTTGTTAAAGACCATTAAACAGAACTGTTTGAGATAAACAGAAAAATTGCTTCTGCATGTAAAGAGAAAAGGACATATTCTCTTTGCATCAGAGAAGAACAAATGGATTCTGATTGTAGTTATGAAAACTGGACGGACTACAGTGTTTGAAATTATACCTCTTCCTGCAGGTGAGCCAACAGACTGATACGCCACACATGGACTGGGAACTGAAATCACAGTCAACAGTGAGAAGACTATTGAAAAGTTTTGACATGAACTTGTTTTGCATTTAATGCTAGTTCTTGGATTGGTCCTTTTTCAAGCAAAGCATCCCCTGCAGCCAGCTGGAGGGTAGGGCTGTGACGGGAATGAAGCTATATTCTGCTTTGGATCACAACTGTACGATTCCCAGAACAACTCCACTCATTTCACTGCAGTTTTTCTACACTCTCATCAGAACCTTGTTCTGAGTTTATAAACCTGTATCTGATGTAAGAAGGAAAATAAGTTTTTCATTGCCACCAAACAAAGGGATACCTATCAAAGCAAGGGAATTTATTTCCTCTTGATCCTTTTAAAAAGTGATTACTAAAGAGTGACAGCAGCCCAGGCTGTCTTTTCCACAGGCAGATTAAACATCCATAACCACGGCATGTAGCACAGGAGATTGTTTTGTTTGTATTTTGATGTAAGAATCTGTGTTCGGCTCTTATTTGTAAGAAAAGACAGTCTTGGCCACAATGCAACACGTACAAAACCAGCATCAGGGAATGACAATACCCATGTCAGTCAGTGTCACTGATGCATTTCATCACGGATTTTTAGAAAATCACTTTCTGCTGTAAGAATGATTAACATTATTTCTTATGCCTAACAAGGCAAGCTGAAGAGAACACAGAATTTGGAAATGTAGAAAACATGCTGGGTCAACATGGCTCTGAACCACTTTCTCCAACCACAGGGCACGGGACTGGATTGTCCTACAGTCTTTGTTCAGTTTTGTATCAAACTAAGATAACTAAGGATTCAGTACTTGTGGCTAGTTTGCTGCTTTAGCTGTGGGAGAAGGAAAACCAAACTTTATTTCCTTACTCAGCAGTTTGAGTAAATCATAAAGAAAGGAAGACTGGCAGTGGCCCGTTTCCTTAGCCACAGGTCTGGCCAGGTCCAGATGCAATGCAAGGAATTAACCCTTTCCACAAAAACCAAGGAAGTCATCCTTCCCTTTCAGCAAGAGGTGAAAGAAAAGAGCCAAAAGCCTTCTGTGATGGTGAGTTATGCCTAAATCTCCACTCCTGCAGGTGGGAAAGCACACCCATCTCCCACCCCTGCTGAGGGCAGACATCAAGCTCAGCACCAAAGCTCTGCCGGGACAACCAGCTCCAGGCACAGGGGTTGTGCCAGGCGTCTGGGAACACAACGTTCTCGACAATGGCCATCTCTCTCCTCTCCATAATGGAGTTTGCATTAATAATGGCAAACAATAACCTGTCTGCTTAGTTCCCATTCAGCTTCCAAGCTTTCAAGATTAGTTTTCAAGTTCCCCTTTCAGCTGGTGACAGTGCTGGTAGTTCCCTGCGTCTCTGAGCTCCCGTGCTGTTACCTCTAGGGAGCAGCTAACCTTTTACGTTGCTTTACTCTCTGTATTTCAGAACACTGACAAAGCCTGATGATTTTGCCAGAGACCTTTTGGTAATCATAATACACTGCTACTCTCTTTATTCTTCAAGCGTCTGTGTTTTATCTACAACCTCATTAGCTCCATGCCTTTCAAAAACCATTTTTATCCATGCAGTGACACAAAGCTTCTTAAGCTACAACATCTCGCTTGCCTCTTTGCAGCTTTATAGAAGCATTGAGAAGCTATAGAAAATTGAGAAATATATAGAAAGCAACTTATTTGCTTTTGGTGGGTAACAACAGATAGCATCTCATTAGTACCTCTCCCTCCTGCCCTCCTCGGGGAACCAGTTCTACATGCTGCATAAGCATCAGTGGTATGAACACAAAATCGTTCTTACCAAAGGAAAAACTGACACACAAGGGAATTGCTGTAAAGGGTGACTCAAGTTTCCACAGAGCCCCAAAGCTGATGTGGACAGAAATCAGACCCTGCAGAAACCAAATCACCAAACTGTTCTCACCCTCAGGAACACACTTCACCGCGGCACATCAGCCTGTTCCCAGTGCTGTGCTTATCCCCCAGGCTTTTTTCACACAGGGAATGGAGGGCTGTCTTAATTACTCTAATTAAGACAGACTCAAAAGCCCAGATATAGCCCAACTGTACAGCCAGGCTTAGTTTTTTCACGGGAGAGAGCAAGAGCCCCCCCCCCACCCTTCAAATTTCTGCCAGTCTCAAATTTAATTGTGTATTAAATCCACAAGAGTTCAGGAAGATGCCTGTAGATGATGCAATTACTTAAGGTTCTGCATTAATTTATAACTTTGAGACACTACGTTTTTGTAAACTTTGTATTCATTCAGATGAATAAGGATGGTTTGAAGTAACAGGGTCTGATAAAACACTGAAATAATCCCCTGTGCTTCAATAATGACATGTTAGAGCACTGAAGTAATATAATTTCTCATATTCCATAGTATCCTACTCCAGAAATAACCATACTTAATGAACTTCAAAGTTAAGTAAGGTATTTAATTTCCTTTGTACCACAATTTAAGTTTAAATATTTTCAAGATGGGAGTTTTTCAGTCACTGCACAAAATATATCCAGCTGACCTTTCCTAAAACAACCATAACCAAAGAAAATGTATTCTTTTAAAATCTGAAATGCTGATTTTTTCTCCTAGATAAAATGAGCAGGATCATTTCAAAGTTTGAGTAAGAAGTATAAGGAATGATTTAGTTACACTCTGCCCTTTTCCTCACTGAAAACAGAGCGGTCTGCAAAAAGGTCACGCAGGGCTGGCTCTCCGTGCGACTGCATGGAAAGGACAGAGTCCTGCAGCAGGCTTGAGTACTCTGGTGTATTGGAAGCTATCACAATTTATAAAAATATGTTTCAATAACATATTTCAATAAACAGTGAATGAAGACTTTACATCCTGCCTGGGATATGATAGAGGAGCAGCTCTCCCTGTTTTCCCTTTTCTACAGACAAAAATTTGGCTCTTGAAACAAGGCAGCTACTGGAGGGAAATGAAATGCAAATGTTAATTCACAGAGGAAAAACTGGAAAGCGAGGAAGATATCAACGAAGAGTCACAGCAACAAACACTGCCAGGCTTAGTTTAAAATATCTATGTACTAGTTAATCATTTTGTATATTTTCATATACTAATAAGAACATTCAACATAAGAAATAAGTGCAATGAGAAATGGCAAATAAAACAAATTACAAGCAATCTAAAATGGGAATACTAATAGTTATAATTCTGCAAAGGCAGACCAGATGTCTTCACATATATTAAACTGTTTATTCTATTATAAGTCAGCCAGTTCCCCAAGATTACAATAAAAGCTTGATATATATTCAGTGGAGTTATACACTTCAGCTTCTGAAGGCAGGAGTTTCAGGGAGCTTGAGGCTACTTGAAGGAAAAAAACACAGCAACTAATAAGAACATATTCCATTTTGGGCCCAGAACAGCAGTGTACTATTCTAAAGTCCTGATTTTCCCTCCTGCTATACTATTACAACACAGAAATGATGAGGCTGTCAGCTTCTTGCAACTTCAAAATAACTCTTCCCACTTGTCCCCCCCAAAACCCTTTAATGCTTCTCTGGCTCATCAGCATTAAGAGATAGGGATTGATAGGCCACTTCTCATTAATATGGTTGTTCAGCTTTTCACAATGGCCAAAATCTCACTTTACTTACACTTATGCAAGGGCCAATACCATTCTGCTGTATCTAAGGACAGCTTTACCAGGGCTACGAAAGCATCAGGTCAAAGTGGCCATAAGAGACCAAGCACTTCTCAGATCAGTCCATTTCTAAAATTCCAATTTCAGTGACAGCACTCCTCTTTTAACTAGTGAAAATGAAGAAAGCGGAGTTAAATGTTCTTTTAACTTGATTACCGCACTCAGGAAAGAACTCACAGTTTCCACATTTTTCACATTTAACCTTCTATTAAAGGGTAACTCAAGACCCCCAATCGCAGCACGCTCCCCGTGGCTCTGGCCAGAGTTTCCACATTTTTCACATTTAACATTCTATTAAAGGGTAACTCAAGACCCCCATCGCAGCACGCTCCCCGTGGCTCTGGCCCATGGGGTGACAGGGTAGCAGTTCAGCAG